GTGGTATGGTGGCACATGCCTGTGGTCCCAGCTACTGGGAGGTGGGAGGATCACTTGAGCCCAGGAGGTTAAGGCTGCAGTGAGCTATGACTGCATCACTGCACTCCAGTCTCCAGGAAAAAAAAAAAAAAGTGTAAGCATGTTTGTACTGTGGCCTCACTTTCAGGTAAGCAGTGATGTGAACCAGGCTGAACAGCACAGCATCTGTCCCTGTGTGTAACACTCCTTGGAGCCAGACCTTCAGTGGCTTTACTTCTTAGCTGTAGTTTAAAACCGCTTTCTACCCATGCCCCTCAAACTTATTTTTAATAATTTCTTTTCCCTTCACAGCTATTTGCATGCAAAGAACATCATCCACAGAGACATGAAATCCAACAGTATCCTTTGGTTGTTGAGTTCATTTGACTGCTCAGTTCTAAATTTAGGGAAACAGAAGAGAGCCTTTTTATCACAAGTGGCTGTTGGTGCCAGGGGATATCTTTTTAAGGAAAGAAGAGGACAGGAAAACAGAAAAGTCAGAAAATTAGTAGGCTTGGCCTGCCCCTCAGCAGCTTATGCCTCACCTGGGCTGATGAGAGCGATGTTTAGGTTAGGTTCCTTTCTGAGTTTATCTCAGCAAAAGTGATTTGGAGAGATTTCGGTAAACTTGAAATAGGTATAATTTTATCACACTATTAGTAAATTTAACCTGAGGGGGATTGGGCTTTTGTCTTATGTTTATTTCTAGTTTGTGGCCAGTGTGTGTATGTGTATCTACTTGTTATGTGGATAGTAAGTAGCTACAAGCCAGATGTTGAAAGATTTCCAAAATCACTATTTAAAATAGTCTTTCTTGACGAGGCGTGATGGCTCACACCTATAATCCCAGTACTTAGGGAGGCTGAGGCAGGTGGATCACTTGAGGCTAGGAGTTTGAGACCAGCCTGGCCAATGTGGCGAAACCCCGTCTCTTAAATTTAAAAATTAGCTGGGTGTGGTGGCACGTGCTTGTAATCCCAGCTACTCAGGAGGCTGAGGCATGAGAATCACTTGAACCTGGGAGGCAGAGGTTGCAGTGAGCTGAGATCATGCCACTGCACTCTAGCCTTGGGGACAGAGCAAGGTTCTGTCTCAAAAAAATAAATAAAATCTTTCTTAAAGGTACATAAGTGGGTTCCTCAGAAGTCACTGTTACAAGAGGAGAGGGGTTGTTTTTATAGAAGAGTAAATGAAGAAAGGTATTTGTAATGCTGTAAGGCATGAAATTTAACAAATTTGAATCTGCCACCCTCCACTAGCCTTTCCTTGTGAAAGAAAGATGGCATTACAACCCACTTTTCTTCTTGAGCAGTGAGAGAGGCATGATAGTTGTGTTGGATTATGGGACATGGCCTGTTTTAGGTACATGTCTGAGGTGTGGAACACCTTTCAATGGTGGGCTTTTTAGCAGCCAAACATTATACCATGAAAGCAGACATCACAGATTTAAGGTGTGAATTCCTGGGCACCAACAGATCACAAGTTACTTTGAATGTGTTTTTTTTTTCTGTTTTTAAATTTTTTTTCCCCTCACAAGTTAGACTTAAACTGTATGACTTCTTTACCCAGAAGCGAGCTGACTTCGGTTCTCATTTTGAAGTCACCAAGTGGTACCAATTCTAGTGAGGAATTTCTTATGACAACATTGAACACTCAGTAAGGGATTTGCTATTTTGTTAACCACTCAAGTTTCAGATGGTGATTTGAGGGTGGAATACAGGCAGAAACGACTGTAAGCTGTCAGCAGGCCATGCTTGGCCCTCTGGGGAGCACTGGAGTGTGGCCTCTGCTCATCGTGTTAGGGTTTCAAGCACCTGTATTATGTGGAAAGGTCACAAGGCCAGGGACCCAGCACCTAGACGTGCAAATGGGGAGAAGAAGCAGAGAAGAAACGCTGGCTTGCTTTTGGCTTGGGCCAAATAATCTGGCACATTGACCAATCCCTGCCTGTCTTCTGGAAGAAGGGGCATTTCAAAAGCACTTTAAAGAACTTCAGAAACCTTAGGAAATTCAGTGCAGAGGCTGTGACAGAGGGAAGGTGGAGAGATTACCATGTTATAAAGAACTTTGGGATGTTTTTCAAAATTAACTTGACCATTCTTTTGAAACCAGAGTCCTTAACAAGCATTGAGATATATTTCTCCATGAAGGCCTAACAGTGAAAATTGGAGATTTTGGTTTGGCAACAGTAAAGTCACGCTGGAGTGGTTCTCAGCAGGTTGAACAACCTACTGGCTCTGTCCTGTGGATGGTGAGAATCTGGGCTCCCACCAGCAGTCTCTGGTACAGGGCAAAGGGAATGCCCTGGGGATTTATGTGCAAACTTTTAAAGCGTTTCTGTACATTTCCCCGAAATCCACATGACCCCTAGTGACAGCCAGCCTCAGGGCAATTGTAGATTTTCTTGAGGAAGCTGTTGATGAGAACCACTGTGAAGCTTAGTGTGGAGAGGAGATAATAAGCTGGGTGATAGAAGTGCTGGATGTTGGTCCTTTAAAGACAAGGATTCCTGAGCTGTTTTACCCAGTGCCTGAGTTGGAGTCCTTTAGGGGAAAAACTATGTGGGGACTGAAGAATGGACTCATTCAAAACTAATGAAAGGGACAGCCTGGGTCCTAGATGTCTGTAAGGTCTGTCATATGGTGATAAATGCACTTTTGTCACATGGTGATAAATGTAGGCCCCAGAGGTGATCCGAATGCAGGATAACAACCCATTCAGTTTCCAGTCGGATGTCTACTCCTATGGCATCGTATTGTATGAGCTGATGACGGGGGAACTTCCTTACTCTCACATCAACAACCGAGATCAGGTGAGTCTGTGCTGGTGCTAAAGGTCCTAACGCGTGGGAGCCCTTGGGCCTCTCCCAGCCTAGGCAGCTAGAGGGTTAGGACTTGATATTTTCTGTAGTTCATTTACCCCCCATTCGCTCAGCTGTTTTCTTTCCCTTAGATCATCTTCATGGTGGGGCGAGGGTATGCCTCCCCAGATCTTAGTAAGCTATATAAGAACTGCCCCAAAGCAATGAAGAGGCTGGTAGCTGACTGTGTGAAGAAAGTAAAGGAAGAGAGGCCTCTTTTTCCCCAGGTAAGGCTCAGGGCTGCTAGAATGGTGATTAAAGCATGGATTGGTTCTTAAAGATGGCAATGTAAGGTGGGAGTATTTTGTTTTGTTTTATAGGGAGGGGACCCAGATCCTCTACAAGATGGTTGGGGGCAGGGTACAGACTGTGTCTTTGAGACAGCTAATGAGAGCATTCTGGGGCTTTGTTTCAGATCCTGTCTTCCATTGAGCTGCTCCAACACTCTCTACCGAAGATCAACCGGAGCGCTTCCGAGCCATCCTTGCATCGGGCAGCCCACACTGAGGATATCAATGCTTGCACGCTGACCACGTCCCCGAGGCTGCCTGTCTTCTAGTTGACTTTGCACCTGCCCTCAGGCTGCCAGGGGAGGAAGAGAAGCCAGCAGGCACCACTTTTCTGCTCCCTTTCTCCAGAGGCAGAACACATATTTTCAGAGAAGCTGCTGCTAAGGACCTTCTAGACTGCTCACAGGGCCTTAACTTCATGTTGCCTTCTTTTCTATTCCTTTGGGCCCTGGGAGAAGGAAGCCATTTGCAGTGCTGGTGCGTCCTGCTCCCTCCCCGCATCCCCCATGCTCAAGGCCCAGCCTTCTCTAGATGCGCAAGTGGATGTTGATGGTAGTACAAAAAGCAGGGGCCCAGCCCAGCTGTTGGCTACATGAGTATTTTGAGGAAGTAAGGTAGCAGGCAGTCCAGCCCTGATGTGGAGACACATGGGATTTTGGAAATCGGCTTCTGGAGGAATGCATGTCACAGGTGAGACTTTCTTCAGAGAGTGGTGCAGCGCCAGACGTTTTGCACATAAGGCACCAAACAGCCCAGGACTGCCGAGACTCTGGCCGCCTGAAGGAGCCTGCTTTGGTACTATGGAACTTTTCTTAGGGGACACATCCTCCTTTCACAGCTTCTAAGGTGTCCAGTGCATTGGGATGGTTTTCCAGGCAAGGCACTCAGCCAGTCCCCATCTCGGCCCTCAGGGAGCAGTCTTCCATCATGCTGAATTTTGTCTTCCAGGAGCTGCCCCTATGGGGCGGGGCCGCAGGGCCAGCCTTGTTTCTCTAACAGCCTTGTTTCTCTAGTCACATCATGTGTATACAAGGAAGCCAGGAATACAGGTTTTCTTGATGATTTGGGTTTTAATTTTGTTTTTATTGCACCTGACAAAATACAGTTATCTGATGGTCCCTCAATTTTATGTTATTTTAATAAAATAAATTAAATTTAGGTGTAATGGCTGTTACCTCCTTTTAAAGTAATTCTGAGCTCACAATTTGAACGTCCCATTTGTTCACCCTCTTCAGGAGCAGAATTCAAGAACAGGAAATGTGCCCAGAGCCTAGGCTGGGAATGAATTTGTAATTTAACCTTTGTACTCTTTGTAACCCTCTACTGAAGAAGAGTTAAGTATAAAAATTAAGCAGAAAGTATTCTAAACTCAGCTAATAGGTTAAGTAATGCGTTCTATAAAATATTTGATAGCTACAGCTTAAAAAAAAAAAACCAGATAAATTCCAGCTTGGAACAAGCCAGTGCTAGTTCACAAGGTTGTGCTCACCCTTCAATTAAAATGACTACAAGACTTGCCATCAGCTCTCTTCAGGACCACTGCTGGGTCAGAATCAGAAACCTTGGGTGCCATGACATTTTTACAAAATTTCAAATCAAAGCCAGGCTTTGCAGATAATAGATCGCTTGAGTACGAACCACACGTTATGTAAGTGCACGTGTATTTTGAGTTCTCAATACAATTACCCTGATGGGCATGAACCCACAGGTGAGAGCAGAGGTTTGGTTCCCCTGGAGGGCCCTGGCTGGAGGCCCCAGCACCAACCAGACAGGAGGGCCAGACTGCTACCCAGTACTGTACCTCCTGTTCCTTCAAGAGCTTCCCTAAGGGAGAAAAAGATTTATACTTCCACTTTGTTTGCTGCACATGTGGCAACAAGATTGCTACCCTGATTTGGGACACTTGCGAGAACTCGAAAAAAATGACCACCCTTAAAGCCCTAGAAAAAAGTTGTATGTTAACAGCTATGCTGCACTCACTCTGCATTGTGTATTCTTGAAAGCTCTGTATAAAGCAAAATTTTGACCACACACTAAATACACTAGAGAAATACACTATAGAGGAGTCCTTTTATAGGGTTGAAGAATCCTTTGGTAAGAAAAATATGCTGCATTAGGGACAGCTGCAAGTTTACTATTTCTGGGAAAGAAAAGATCAAAGATAAGAGCCAAGTTTGTTTTTTAAAGCAGTCAATCCAAACAAACAGTCTGGGTGGTTAGTTGTTACCCCTGAGGGGCTTGAGGTGTAACTATATCAGCTATAAAAATAGTAATTCCATACACTTATTAGGTTACTTTATATCCTTCACTCTTCCCCATGGCTGTAATAATGGAGAGTGAATGAGACTAAGGCTAAGCCCAACTCCACTCAAATCCAAGCCACACACCACCTTGGCTACAGTACAGGGAAGCTCTGCACACCCTGGCTTGGGAAAGTTTTGGCCGATGGAGCCCAAGATGCAGGGCAACCATCTACTCTTTAGGGTTCTGATGACTCCACTCCAGAAAGGTGCATGAAGAGGTCCCCGAGCTCTGTCATGTCGACATCTTCATTGTTGGGGACATGCCGGCTTTCTCGGTTCTCGATGAAATCCCAGAGCCGCACTGAATTAAAGAACTGCAAAAACAGCCAGTGGACATGCCTGGTTACTGCCAAGAGCAACAGGAAGGCTACGTTGCTTGATCTTTCTTTTGCCTACCCCATTTCTCTGCCAGGAACAGTACCTGGAAATGCCCACAGCTGCTAAGTGTCCCCAACTAGAGATGGCTAAAGTCCTTACCCTCACAGTGCCTTGAGAACTGAGCTGTTTCCGAGGTTTTTCAGGCTCTGCTAGCCGCCCATCAGGGTAAGCATGGCGATAAAGACATTTGCTTCCAAATGGGCAGGTCCCCTTGCCTTGCTCAAAGTATTTACAGGCTTTTTTCCTGAAAAGCAGAAAGAAAAAGTCAAGTGGCTGGTGGGAAAATGTGGGGTCCAGATTGGGCCACTGCCTTCCTCTATCCTTACCCTTACGGCAGAGGTAGGTCAGCCTCACATTCTAGGTGGGGCAACTTAGGCTGGGAGAGGTTGAGTAATTTGTCTCAGGTCCCACACAGCTGGGATTCTGATTTCCAAGCAGAATAGGAAGCATCCCTACTTACCTGTAGCCTTGCAAAGGATATGAACCTGCCTGGGGACTCGCTGTGTGGAGACTGCAGTGCCTCACAGGCCCTCCGGCAGCTCCAGAGCACCTCCTGGGTCACCACAGAGCTAAGCCAGGCCTGGTCACTCCTCTGGGCACTAAGGTCTGAAGCTGGGCCCACTTGTCTCTGCTCAAAGTTCCCTAGGTACTCCACCAAGCCAAGTCTCCCATTCCTCCTGGCTGCAGTGCTGTCAAGGTGACTACAGGGAAAGCAGAGGGTTTTAGCAACTGCCTAAAACCATAGGTCTTCCAGTTTTCCTGTCTTCACCCTCAGCACCAGGGCTTCTTCACGCCTTATGTGCTTTGGACCCCTTCTCTGAACAGTGTTTTTCAATGCATAAAACGCCTAGGTCTAGAGCCTACAGTTACCAAACAGTTCAAAATGTTTTCCCTCTCTCTTAATTCTACCATTTTCCCCACAGACCTCTATGTTAAGAACCCTGCCCGAGGAAACTCAATCAAATGAATTCCCATTTTGCTCAAATGAACTCTGGTTTATCCAATCATAAAGGACCACAAACTGAAGTGAAAAAAAGATACCCAAGAATCCAGAGGGCCATCTCGGAGAACAGAGGAAGGGGGAAAGTCACAGAAATAAAGCCAAACAACAGAAAGGGCATGCTGCTGCCAGGGGCAGCTGGGGTGTGTGTGACAGCGGGAGACAAGAACGGGGAAAGGGGGCTCCTGAATCCAGTGGTTTTCCGTCTTGTCAGATGGGATGGCCACAGGCCAGTGGTGAAGTTCTCTGAGGACGGCTTCAGAGCAGCATAAAGAAAAGCTCCCTGGCCAGGTGTGGTGGCTCACACCTGTAATTTCAGCACTTTGGGAGGCCAGGGTGGGTGGATCACTTGAGGTCAGGAGTTCGAGACCAGCCTGGCCAACATGGCGAAACCCTATCTCTACTAAAAATCCAAAAATTAGCTGGGCGTGGTGGCGGGCACCTGTAATCCCAG